TTTGTGTTGTTAAATGACTATGTGTAAATCATTTTACATCAAACACACGACCTACCGAAGAACATATTCATATTTTAACAAAAGTTGGGAGATAATTGAAAGGTTATTACCATATTTAATAACGCTATTTCAACTGCGGTGTATAGTCTCGAATAGGAGGAAAGTGGTAATTAACTTTGGGTATGGGTTTGTAACGAGGCAGTCGTATTTGAAGAGTCTGTTTTACATGGGTTTGGAGAAACAAGAAAAACGGTCAAATTTTCGAATAGTATATCTTCTAACGTGGCCTGGGTTCGAACCGGCTACCTCCAAAATGCAGGTATAAATGGTTACCGCTACTGTAAATTTCTGGAGTGATTGGAAAAAATAGACTCCAGCTATATCGGATTGAAATGCCTCACGTTAAGGTGAATATGATAGTTGCATGTGAGTTCAGCATTCCACTGCCTTCTAAAGTGCAGTGTTCGTAATTTTATCGTCATGGAATTTGTTTATATTGGTCAGTAAAGCAGAATCTTAATAACTATGCGTTAGCGCACTGTTAATTTTCAAACACTGGCCTTTACAATTATAAATAATAAAAAGATAGACACAATTAATTTTACATGTTGTCAACAGATGAGCACTTGAATGTAATCTCATGCCTCCAGTGTTACTTATTTATTGACGTATTTATTTCCCGACTGTCCACAGTTCAATTCTCGTCCGATGCAACCGTTACGGGCCTCGTTCTACTCACTGTTACACCTACACATTTAGTAAAAATCTGTCTGTAACGAAAACTTGCTACCTTTTATGGTTCTCACAATTTTCGATGAGCATAGAATTTTCATCCTCGGGTTCCCAGAAATGAATTTAAAATTTTCTGTATCAGTATCAGTACAATACGTTTTAGTATTATACGTTATTCGATAAGGAGCTAATCTTTGTATATTTCACAAATGCTTTATCTTCTGACTTTGAAAACATATTGCTTCTAGTTAAGACATTTTTTTTTCATATTTGTGCATGTTTCTTGTTAGATAGGACCGCCATAAATTTGACAGTAGCAAGAAAACTCCATCAGTTCGTACATTTAACATGAATAAAATATAACCCGCGATGGAATCCCATGTTTTATATGTTATTTTTAGAGAGGCATACCTCCTCTATTTTTGACAGAATATTAATTACGCATTAAATAAGTTTATTGTTTAGACAGGAATGAACTACCTCTCTCCACAGACATACGTCTGTAGCAGCTAAAATAATATTGACAGACATAATTAAAATATACTTCACTTTTAATAACTGGAAGTTATGTGATGTAACGATAGTGTATTTTAAATGTCGGTTTCTCTCGTAGATGCATTAATGCGCTTGCGTTGTTTGTTCAGCCCTTGGTTCGATATATTTCTCTTCGAGAGAATGTGAAAAATTACATTATACAATTTATTATTTTGCGGGTTTTGATTGGAAGATTGAAACATAAATCAAAATACAGCTTTCTGGGGACATGTAGCTTGCAGAATGTTTTGTGAAATAAAACATGTATTTAAGGTAAACACAATAAAACCTTTAAAATAAATTTATATCTTAATTGCGTCATGTTTGTGTTTTATTGATACAATATTTTATTTTCCGTCTATACACAAACTTAAAATAATGTTGTAATACACATCGAAACATGTCGTCAATACAAAAAATATATAAAACCTCCAAGCACAACCTTCAAATTTAAAGGAAGAGACAAAACTTAAAATCAAACAAATCAATATAAGCAACGCAAGATGTACAACAGTTTTTAAAATTGATAGACCTGATGATGATGTAATACACATCGAAACATGTCGTCAATACAAAAAATATATAAAACCTCCAAGCACAACCTTCAAATTTAAAGGAAGAGACAAAACTTAAAATCAAACAAATCAATATAAGCAACGCAAGATGTACAACAGTTTTTAAAATTGATAGACCTGATGATGATGTAATACACATCGAAACATGTCGTCAATACAAAAAATGTAACAAGATGCAGTGTCTACTGAGAATGTTATAATTTTAAGTAATTTTAAACAACATTATTTTAAGTTTGTGTATAGACGGAAAATAAAATATTGTATCTTTAAAATAAAGTTTTATTGTGAAACCTTTTGTATAGTTTGAAATCGAAACGTGTATCGGTATCATCAATTTGATTGAAATATTATTCTTGAATGACATAGCGAGTAATTCTCGTACACGAACTCAAAATTCAGAGAATATGTTGCTATTTATATTGAAAGACTCGATTAAAATAACATCTTGTGGGAATAAACTTCGTTTTTATCTTAGTTTTTTAGTAGCTCAGTCTTTCTTTTATCCTGTTTTAATCTAAAAGACCTTTAGAATAAGTTATTTTACCCTTACAAAATTTTGCTTAGTACTGTTTGTAGCGCTGTGGATGCTTACAGCCATGACGTCATATTTCTTATTCCATTGTAAACTCCATTGTAGTACAATGACAGAAAGAAATGAAACTCGAAGTTCGTATCATCAAAGTTAGCTTCACAGTTCACTAGTTCACGAACAATGCTTCGTATTTCAAGAGAACCTGCCTCTCGCACAACAAACGTTAAGAAATAAACAGAATGGTTCATGCGATAGCAACAAGAGATGTGTACCATGATAATGAATGAAGGAATAAAGAAAGCACCAGTGCACTCTGCTGTTAAAATAATGTACTGCGTTTAAAAAGAATGTTCTGCATTGGTTTACAAGGGAATTTTAAAATAAAATTAGGTTGAAATTCGGAAGATAAGGCATATATGAAATGAAGTGTCTTTTTTATTATTATTATTATTATTTTAAAACTGCACATTTATAGCCTCAGTGGCACAGTTTAACGCCATTAATCGCTGTAAAAATGTTCCTGTAATTGATGTCTGTGTTATATCACGATTTCATTTTGTCAGTCCTATTAAAACTCATATACTGAAGCGTTTACCCAATTTGATGTATAAATTACACTTTTCAAATTGTTATTATCAGAAATGAGAATGATGCACCAAACAAAATCACGTAACTACAGGATAATAAGCACTGGGCTCTAACCTATACATCTCATGATTATACATCATCATTTTACACCAGGGGTGGCCAACCCGCGGCCCGCGGGCCGCATGGGGCCCGCCTTGAACATTTTTCCGGCCCGCGAGATTCATCACACTTTTACAAAATATATTTATTTTATAATGGCCAAAGTAGTGAAAACCAATGTATTAAAAAAATACATTATTTGTGCATCCATATATCCAGAAATTATCTGTCGAAATTATGAGAAAAAATTAACTTTGATTTTAAAATAATATTCTTGCGAATATATGACAGATATTGCCTGTTTTATTCATGAGTTTACAGTTATGAGTTCGCAGAATAATTAAACTATATTCTGCGAACTCATGATGCGCGTGCATCTTGGAACATCTAATATAACAGGTTCTATGTTTCACTCTTAAGTGCCCAAAAAAATGTCTATAGTGTATCTAAATCTAATATGGGGATATATAATTTTATATGTGGCCCGCGGAGTTATGATGCATTTCCAAAGTGGCCCGAAAGATCATTTGGGTTGGCCACCCCTGATTTAAAGTGTCGAAAGAAGACTGTGAGCGAGGAATAGAGAAGGATATGAGGAGAATAAGAAAGTAATGAAATTCGTGATAAACCGTAAACTGAAGTTCTTGTGAAGAGTGTGTTTAAGAAAATATTTGGATATAATGAATTAAATGATAAGATAAGTTTGTTATACAAATTGGACAATTACTTGGCCATTGACTACGCCATGAGGGAAACATTTATCTCTTCAGTTATAGACAGCTGTTTAAGTCCATCGTGTTAAGTTAAGTTAACATTGTTTGTATTTTAAGATTTCGTTGTATTTACAAAGACTGTTAACGTTTATTTAATTAATACATGTCATAAGGTAAAATGCGTTGTTAGTGACCAATAGAATCGCTGTGGATTTCTTAGAATTGTGACGTCACCCACACCCCAAGCTCTTCGCCCGTATGTATTCAAATAATGATTATGTCGCCACTAATCGACTATCAGATTCTTGTTTGTGA